TTTTCTTTTGTGTTAATATGCAGACAATATACGAAGAGTTCAGATGCAAAAGCCTCTAAATGCCATTTGAAATGTTCTTCTTTAATGATGATTTTTATCAAGCTTGTACATTTAAGTTCAGTAATTTCACTTAAATAACAATTAATACTTAGGTAATTATCATTGCCATTTAAGTGAAATCACTGAACTTTAATATACAAGCTTGATAAAAAATGATCACTCTAGAAGAAAATTTAAAATGGCACTTAGAGGCTTTTGCATCTGAACTCTATTTTATTAAGGCTTGATCACCTTTGATTTACAAACTCTAAATTTCACTTTCAGGCTGCCCAGGTATTCTCAGATACATTTTCTAGCCAGCATTTAATGCCTATTAGATCAGTAGTTACCATAGTTGGATTATAGTTAGAATCGTTTGTGAAAATTATTTTTATCTGCTACACAAACAATTCTTCTCAGACCAAATTTGAAAACGATGAAAATATTAAAGGACATACAAAAATAAAACAAGCTTTCAGATATATTATGATTTTCATTATTTATTTATTTTTTTTATATAATTTCCCCGAAGCTTTCCTTCCTAGCTCAAAAGCAACCATCTGCACCAGTCTCACAATATGACTATGGGTAGGTAAGCTATTTTTATTCGTATGCGAGTAATCAATTACAAAGGAAATCGTAATATTGAAGTTATAAGTGTATGCTCAATTAAAAAGATGTGGGAATTATTTGTTTTCGAAATGATAAGTGAAAAATTAAGCAAAACATTACTTCCCTGACCGGGAATCGAACCCGGGCCGCGGCGGTGAGAGCGCCGAATCCTAACCACTAGACCACCAGGGATGCTTGAGTAAACAGTCGTTAAATCTGTATAAAACAAACTACCGAACTTATTAAAATACTACACGTTATATGTAATAATTTTATGCATTTATTGATATTTTTATACGGTATTATGCACATAATGTGTTAGAAGACCAAATCTTGCAAACACTTTCGTTGTTTCTGAACATTTTCAGAAAGAAAGCACCAACCCCTCCGTCCTTGATTTCGCTGGTTTGATCCGGTTCCACGCGGAGGTTACTATATAGAGGAGAGAGAGACGCCCCGCCTCCATTTAAACGTCTCTGTATAAATGTCAGCGAACGAGTTGTTTTTGTTAGACAGCATTGCGGTAGTTATTTCCTGACGTGGAGGGTCTTATCCATCCAAACCTTTTCAAATGGGCCCCATCGCCTAGCGTTTTCTCCCCAAAGCCTCCGACGGAATCGAGCAGGGTGCTTTAATAACATCAGCACGAGGGCAAAAGAAGGTGAGGATGTGGTCTTACAACTAATATTTTAGCAGAGTGCGTTAGTCAAACACCGTTAATGCTCTGCATCTTGATGTAGTGCTGTACATATGCATGTTTTCTCATGTTTGGGGCAAAATGTTTCTTTTGTGAGTAAATGACCATGCCTCTCAGACAGACTCAACTCCCAAAAATGATATGGGCTTACTGTAAATAACGTTAACTTCCTCGCGTAACGTTAGTCTTTTGAAACATGCGATGGAAGTCTTTTTCGTAATGAATACCTTGTGTGGCATAATGTCACTTTGGTTAGTATTGTGGTTTGACACTAAAACATGAGTAACCCTTACAATAACAATATCTAACCAAAACAAGGTTTCAAACCACACATAGTAATGCAAACTCTTAAATGCCTTCTTTTGGGTCGATCTGTATTCATTCGAAGCTATTTTTTCAGGGTTAAGATGGTAAATGATAATCTGTTGGCCACAGAAGCTGTCATATTTGACCAAATCTCTTTTTGCTCTCCTCACAGGGTTTCAAGTCACGATTTACACCAGTCTGTAAAATGGCAGCCATCCCAGCTAGTGGTTCTCTTGTTGCCACTCATGACTACTACAGAAGTAAGTAGCCTTGATGACTGTTATCGTAAATGCACCATTAAAAGTTGATGTTATACTGAGAATTTGGCTTATAAGACCGTTTCTTCTCAGGGCGCATTGGCTCTACATCCAGTAGCAGCTCATGTGGCAGTTCAGAGTACAGTGGGGAGGTTATTCCACATCACCCAGGTCATTTGCATTTCATTTCAATCTCCTCAAACCCCTTTACTAAATCAATATTTTATTGCAACAGTTGAGACCATTTACATGCATTATACAACCATTTGCGCAGTCACCACCCACATCAGCTGTTTAAATGGGTGTCCTTCTGATTGTTTTGGGTAATCAACTTTTGATGAAGTCACTTCATTGAATTTAGAAAAAGCACTTTTGCTTCGTCATCTGGCAGGGCTTGCATTAGGCTGTTGTCTTCACCTGACTGCATACATGGATATGTCTTTGTTTATAGACTCTTTTAACAGTGATTGTGTTAGTGCTTGTGTATTTATCTACTAAATCAATTAAAAGATTAGGAAAGACTGGTGGTCCTTCGTTCTGACCTGTTTAATTGTGCTTTAGGTCTGCCCAAACAGGATTCTGGTCATTGGTGGTCCAGTTTCTTCTTTGGGAAGCAGAACCAGCCTGGTATGGGAACTCTTACTGAGGAGGCGCAGCAGAAGTGAGTCACTGGATTGAGTTTCACCTAAATTGGTGCATGTAACATGAAGGCCTTGCCAAGTGCTGTTTTGAAATGCCTATGCAGTTGCAAATTTGTAGTGGGGTATCAGTTCGTCGTATCAATGGCTACAATTCTTAATCTGGTTGTCTCTCTGCAGGTCAGGGTTGGTGAGCGTGACCAATGGGCAGGTGACATGTGTCGCCCGGGAGATGGTGATGAGGCAGGCGAGCGAATGTAGCGATGGAGGCAAGTCGGAGGCGGGGAGTTCTCCTCATTCCTGAAGCCGAGACCAGATCAGGACACCAACGCTAGGGGATGGAAATGGTTCCTTTTCTTTTCTTTTTTTTATTTCCCATCCATTTAATGGGCTGTTTTAGTACTTTTTCTTTTTTGTATTCATTGTTTTATATATAAATATGTCACGTAATAAATGGAAGAGCTGAAACTTGCAAAAAGAATTTTGTACATTTTTACACATCCATAACTCTGGATATTTTGTTACTTGTTATTGTCTTTACCTGTGTTTTTTCAGCACAATAAATGGTCTTAAACAGCCTACTTCTGCTACTGGACTTTGTTTGTGTATATATAATAAATTAACCATACACCATTTTGAGGGAAAAGACCTCCTTTCCAAAAATCCTTAACTATGCATTTAGTAGTTTACTGGAAGGTGCAGTTACAATGCAACGATAAAAGCTGAGAAATATATGGGTTCTTGAGGAGAAACTGCATTCATTGTCCATTGCTTTTGCACGTGGTTGGTTTATATATTATAACCTGTAATTATGCGTTTTGTATGCACGAAGATTACAGCTGATTTATACCAAATTAATTGTAAATGTGCTGTGGAGGAAATGCTCCTGCATTTTGTTAATTAAAAAAAAAAAATCAGAATATGTAGCATGCCGCAACTAAATGCAGCGAATCCACTTTCAACTTGTACAGACTATTTGAAAGTAACTGAGGGAGACAAAGTGTCATGACCATGAAGAACTGCCCTTGAGTGAAATGTCAAATCCCCTTATAGAAAATCGATCCAACAAATTTTAAAAAGCCAACATTTAGTTTAATTCAAATAAATGCATAGTGTTCCGCATCCTTTTGAACAGGTTGAGCTGTAGATACAGGAAATTGAAATAGGGTCAATGTGCTCTTGAGTGGAATAAAGCATTTTAAAGACATTTCATTAAATTAGTGTTACGGTTGTGGTGTAGATAAAGAAAGACATATGCAAAAAGGTTCCACTTCAACGATTTACTCAAAAATAAAACAAACAGGTTCAGGCAGGCAATTGGTACACACACACACACACACACAGTAACATTAACAAGAACCAACCAGGACTGACTGAACTGAGCAAACTAAATACAAACACAAATGAACACTAACAAGGTGACGACAGCTGACACAAATCAGGACGATGAACAGGTGGATGATTGAGGGAGTGAATTCAGGTGTGGAGACAAGAGGATGCTGGGAAAAGTAGTGAAGATGACGAAGACAGAATGGCGCAGACGAGGACTGTGACATTACTCCCCCCTCCCGGTAAGCGTGACCTCATGCCGTAGAATGGGTGGGCGCCCTGAAGGCTGGCCAAACAGGAACAGGAAGCCTCCAGGGCGGATCAGGAAGTGCAGGCAGCCAGGGTGAATCAGGAAGTGGCCCTCTGGCAGGGCTGTCTCGGCGGGACGAGACTCTGGCGGGGCTGGACGGTGTTGGGCTGGACTGGTGTTACCGTGAGGGACGAACCACAGACCCAAGGCGCCCTGTCCAGAAACTCAGAGAACGGCAGGTTTAGGTCCCCGAGCAGCAGTAACTGGGCTAACGGATCATCCAGACCACTCCAGAACCGCTGCTTAAGGAAATCTTCCTCCCAGAATATGTCTTGGTGAAGGTGAATATACACCTCAATGAATTCCTCCAGTGAGGCCCCATTCTGGTCAAAGATGAAAGCCTCAATCTGGTTGTCCATCTTTTGTGTGGTCGGTGTTACGGTTGTGGTGAAGATAAAGAAAGACAGATGCAAAAAGGCTCCACTTCAACGATTTACACAAAAATAAAACAACAAAAAGGTTCAGGCAGGCAACTGGTACACACGCAAAAACACAGTAACAAGAACCGGCCAAAACTGATTGAACTGAGCAAACTAAATACAAATACAAACACAAATGAACACTAGCAAGGTGACGACAGGTGACACAAGATGATCAAGATGATGAACAGGTGGATGATTGAGGGAGTGAGTTCAGGTGTGGAGACAAGAGGATGGTGGGAAGTGTAGTGAAGATGACAAAGACAGAATGGTGCAGACGAGGACTGTGGCAATTAGTGCATTGCTTTCTGAATAGAATAGAATTAGAATACTTGGACATGGTTTATGAAACCACAAAAGGACAGAACGTAGTGCTTGTGGGCTTCAACAGTGTGGGCGGTAGACCAAACAATGATTAATGGAAACTTGTTCTGTAGAGATGACGTTGTATGGCTTTGTTCCCATGTGTACATGGATTTTCCAGGTCACCAAGTTCCGATGGTAGGTTAGATACATGGAAAAGCCTCTTTGTGGCATGCTGACTCTGTTCTTTTTCAGGCTTCATTTTTCCTTTGTTCGCAGCCACAGGTCCCAACTAAGAGACGTGACAGGTGCTGTGATTGGTAGTTTACTTTACTACTTTTTAAAATGTAGAATAGTAATTAAAGACAAATCCATTTTCTCAATTTGCCATTGGCTATTTTCTATTAACGCAATAGATAAATTTCTTATGAATTTGAATGATGAAAGAGCAAGATCTCCAAAATTAAAAACAATATTATAAATTATTCTTTGTCAAATCACGTTACATTTCAGGTTGGTCCAGCTGAGGCGCATGCAAAATAATAATAAAAAAAACAGGTAATGGCTATCTTAAAAAAACTTCAAGCTAGACCATCTTCCTATAGTCATATTGTAAGCTGTAATTTCTCTAATTCATTATTTAGGAGCGGTCCATCTCTTCCTCATACTGCTGGTGGGAATATGCTTTGCGTAAATTAAGCAGAGTGAATGCAACACATGACTAAATGGATATTACACAGTATAATTATACACCTGTTCAAAAGTTTTGTTGTTTTCTAACATGCAAGTCTTCTGTGGCCAATGCAAAAAAAAGAAAAGCTAATAATCAGCAACCTTTTTACCCCCAGCACTCTATGCAATATTATTGTGCAGGTGTCTACTTGACCACACAATCAGCAGGACCTATCCGTTTGGAAGGGGTTTCGCTTGATGTCTGGCTCCTTAAACCCAAATTTATTGTCCAGCGATTGTTCATAGGCCCTGAGAAATCTGCATTCAGACAGGAAGACAGGAATGAAGAGACATTCTTGTCAGAAGTGATAAATGTACATCTAGTTAGATCAACAGATCTCAGTTGAACTTCTACCATACCTTGGAGTTTGGATTTGGTCAACCAGACAGTCACTTGTCTTTGCTTTGGTTCCATTAAGTTATCAGAAAGACTACTGGCTGCCTTCATTTTGTCTGTTGGGTAGATACCTGCAAACAAAAACAATCACACAAATAAACACTGAGAAAATCCTCTGAAAATCTGAATCTGCACTTTATTCAGCATTGTTAAATATTTTCAAATTAGTCCCCCGTGGTGAAAATTCAGCTTTTAATTTTGTTTATGTCTATGTGAAGAGTTCAGATGCAAAAGCCTCTAAATGCCATTTGAAATTTTCTTCTTTAATGATGATTTTTATCAAACTTGTATATTTGAGTTCAGTAATTTCACTTAAATAACAATTAATAGGTAATTATCATTGCCATTTAAGTGAAATCACTGAACTTAAATATACAAGCTTGATAAAAATTATCATTCTAGAAGAAAATTTCAAATGGCACTTAGAGGCTTTTGCATCTGAACTCTTCATGTGGTGTTTTTTATGCTTACAACCAACCATGTGCAAATTCAACATGAATTGAATATTTTCTCCTTAAAACTGCAGTTATCTAAAGACAGTCCAGGGTTTTTGATGTCCTTGTGACCAATCAGGATCTCAGTGGATCTTTGAGCTGGTGCGAGTGAGAGGAGGCGGGGCTAATTTGCATAATTATAGAAATGCATTCACTAGATGAGGCAAGGGTGTAGAGTTACATTCTAGCTCTCTTAAAGGCATGAATACATTTTTCCAAGGGAAAATCTTTTAAATATCTAATTTTGGTTTTATATCACTAGGTACTAAAACATAATAAGAAATAATAGAAAACAAAAATGTTTTCTATTATTTCTAATTATGTTTTAGTACCCAGTAATGTTTAAGCAATGTAATTAGGTCTATTTCTGTCAATTCTCAAAAAGAGGAGCAATGCTTTTATTTGTTCAACAAAAAGTCAATGACTATGTCAGTTGATAAGGCTAAAATAGGAACAGTGTGTGCTAATAAACAGAGAACAGAGCTTTGGGAAACTGCAGACATTCACATTACACGTGTCCTATTGCTGGTTAAACATCGGAGAGCTAAAAATAGCGCTGCACTTACTCCGATAAAACTCATTCCGAGCGAGCAGACACACGGGGGCATTTACGGTGGTCATGGTCAGCTTTTATGTGTAAATATGACAGAACCAAATGCTTGGAAATGGAAGTGTTCTTTGGAACCTGGAAAAAAAAATAGCAAAAGAGGTGTAAGGTCAGTGCTGAACAAACTTTAATTGTTTTATGGTCTGGGAACAAATATCCTCATCAGAGCGACATAAACATGAAAAAAATTCTGGGAAAAAAACTGGTCAAAGTCCATTTTGGAAAACTAAAATCTCTTATCATACTTTAGATAGAACAAGACCAAACTTGTTGACGCCACATAAAACAAACATGCTGAGTGTGGATGGATGCATCACAGTGTCAAAAGTCATGGAAAGAACCTTTGTCCCAGTTTTGCTCAAATTTGTAAACAGAATCTGCTAGCGTAGGGTTGCTGTGCACTTAAGCTAGCATGTGTATGTGCAACCCGTAAATATGTTTGTGTTTGCGTGAGCAAAATCAATGTTGTTCTGAGTAGCAACATGGCTGTGATTTCGTCCACAGATAGTTTCTAAATGAATCAGTGTTTTTGAACAAATCGGGTTGAGTGATTGATTCAGTGACTGAGAGTCACTTGTCGCCACCTACTCGGAGTCAATGTAACTCACAGAAAGATATGTATGTTATGTCTGCCTGAAGCAAAATAGGGCTAAAAATGGCTGACATTGCTTTAAGATTTGGCATAACTCCTGTTTGACAGACAGCTTACTCTTTGTCTTCAGGGTGTGTTGAAGTATTACTTTTCAAATTCTAAAAAATCCCAACCTTTTCACAAACAGTCTGAGAGAGGACAGTATGTGATCATAGCTGGATGATGCTAATTATGGGAATGAACTTTGCTCTATATAGCCAGCCAGTGTTTAATTTGATCTTGTCTAATGGGGGCCTTGTTTTGATGCTGAATATAAAAAACAATGCTTCTCAACAGATGGTTCTTTTTTAATTTTCTTTCTTTTTAGCCTGTTTAGGCTCTCTTAAGCACTTAATCCTTCACTGAGTCAACATGAAATTGGTCTTGAACACAAACGCCTTTGTGTAAAGGTGTAATCCACAGTGACAAAACGCCAATGAAAACTACGCTTCATCAGCACACTGATCATATTAAAGAGTGAAGCAGTGAGGGATTAAATGAAAACTTGATGTGGTTTGATCTCATTTGATAGATCATAAAATGTTATAGCAGCACATTAGAGATGTCTGGAATTGAATAAAGAGGCAGCAGTCTGAAAAGTTAATGGAAAAGGGTGTCATTTTTCTACAAAGTTCGATGTCCTCTGGGCAGTTTACAAAGACCAAAAGACAAAAGTTTTTCTGTGAATTAATATATGTGTTGGGCAGTTGTATGAGAGCAAGAGAAAGATGTGAAAATTTCCCTGCTTAACTCCATCCGCAGTAAAACAAAACACATTAACAAGCCCCATTTATAATAAAAATTAAAAACAATTCAAAACTCCTGGACAAATGCAATTTTCAGAAACCTGCTTGGTTAGTATCATGTCACCCTATTAGACATATCTAGGTCAGTTTATATATATACAGCCTGTGGTTATATATATAGTCGGCTTAATGTTTTTAACGCTCCTTCAAATCTAAAAACAGTCATGTTGCTGATTATATCTGCCAATCAGCTATTTAATAGAAAGGCAGCTTGAAAGTCCATGCATTATGCCTTGATCTTATCTTTAAGTGGACCTTGCCTTTCTGTAGGCTGTCTGTCATGTGTAAAATCCTTAAAGTCCAATGGCAGTATAAACGTCCCAGAAAAATACTTTTTAAATCTTGTGAAGAATGGAAAGGAATCAATGAGCATATCCAAACACAGATGAGGCTGTAGGTTTATGTTTCATATTTTATAACCCCTCCTTTGCTCCAGGCTCAAGGACTGAAAAGCCATTTGCTAAGGAGCTGAAGGTCCCACCCTGAGGAATGCTTTCTTGACCAGTTGGGAAAGACTTTGGGATCAAGGAACGGTTGGGATCTTCCGATTCTCGCCAATGAATTGCGCAAGAGATAAGCTTACTTTTACACATGAAAGCTACTGATCTGAATAGACTTTTAGTACTTATTGTAAGCACACTGCCGGCAGATTATGTTTGTTTTTGTTGCCTTTTGTTGTAATTATGTGTATAATTGCATTGCAGGTCTTTGAGATTAGAGAAAACCCTGCAAGAAGCCACCAATCCACTTTGAGCTATATTCTCGATGGCAAGAAAAACAGGACTATGCATGTGACGTGCTGCTAAAGAGTCATGAACAGGAGGAGTCATTGGGATGAAGCATGTACTTCTTCTGTTTACTCTCCTACCTTTTATTTTAAAGGTCATTCTGTATAAAGGTTATTGGTGGGCAGAGAATAGAATGGGGGAAAGCAGGAGAAATAGGTGCAGAGTATGAATAAATAAGGCCTTCGGCTGCCCTTCAGAAAAATTCAGACGAGGCAGTTTTGTGTTGAGATGTTCTTACAATAAGGACGTAGTGACTAGTGCTTATTATATTGATGAGATTAAGATCGGTGTTCAAATCTCTATAATTAATCTAAATTTTTTTTTGCATCCACAATGTTTCCAGGAATTACAAAATGGCAAATTGTTATTAATATTTGAAGCATAAAGCTGAAATATGCAGATTGTGCCCCATTAGTTGATCAAACAATTTGTCCATTGAACAAATCTTTTTTTTTTTTGCCATTTTTATCAAGCTTGTATATTCAAGTTCAATAATTTCACTTAAATGGCAATGAAGATTACCTATTAATTGTCATTTAAGTGAAATTACCTAACTTAAATCTACAAGCTTGATAAAAATGGTCATTTTAGAAGAAAATTTCAAATGGCATTTAGAGGCTTTTGCATCTGAACTCTTCATATATTCTCTATATTTTCTTTTCTGCTCGGGTTTCTGTAAGTTTCACAAAGTCAAATTTAAGACCTTTTTAAGACCATTATGAATTAATTTTAAGACCTATGTAACGACAAAAAAAAAAAAAAAAAAAAAAAACGAAAAAGGAAACATGTAACGAGTCTCAAAATTATTCGCCAAGTAATTTAATTTATTCAAACTGAATATCAGCAACAAATTAGTTATGTTTCTGTTTCAGGAAAATTAAGACACGTTTAAAATTATTTAAGACCATGAACACAATACTTCAGCAAATTTAAGACTTTTTAAGACCTTAAATTGTGATTTTTAAATTTTAGACTTTTTTTTAGACTTTTTAAGACCCCGTGGAAACCCTGAATAAAGAAAGTCATACAATTTTGGGGTGAGGGTGAAATGATGATGGATTAATTTTTTTCAGGAGAACTATCCCTTTAACATTAACACACTAAAATCATTTTGTTTTTTTGTTTTGTTTTTTTCCTATGGTATTTCTACAGAGCTATTAGTTTGTTTTTTTTAAATTCCCATTATAAATTACTGTTACTACTAGGCCTAAGGTACAGCTACTACAACTCCTTTCCCAAACCATCCAACAGGCAGAAATCCCTTAATTTATATGACTTATTCCTCAATCAAACTTTAAATTTAAAGGATCAAGAAGGTTAATTAAATATTAAGACCTTAAATTAGACAGGATTAAACCTGAAAGTACACCCACATGATCGCACAGATGAAACAGTACATGGCCGCGGCAGTTTTACAGTGTTGTGGGTGCAGTGTGGGTAACACTGCACTCACAACACTGTAAAAACTTTGGCTTGGTGCCAGTTACAAAGGTTAGTGGGTGCAAGTTTATTTGTGGTTGACCTCAATTGACTGTATAATTTTGCAAAAGAGCAACATGAAACCTGCTGCTATATTCATAAATACAGACATTTCCAACACTGTTAATATCTCCATCCACTGAATGTTGGCAGCATAAGGTCATGTAAACTGCTTAGTTAGTTGCGAGGTGTTGCCTTCATTATTGTCACATCATCACTCATGTGGTCAGCATTATGCTGGCACACACATGCCGCTGCTCGGGGAAGCCATGCAGGTGCATGACCTATTTTCAAATATAAAAGCACTCTTTTTAACCGTCGAGTCACAAAAGTGATAGATTTAAGCAGCCATTAGAGTGCGAGGCATATGCAAAATATAAATGCGTTATTATTATAAACTTAGATTACACAAGTAAAAAGAAATTGCTTCAGGCATTTCAAAACTGTATATCAAATATGTTGACTTAAACTTACTTCAAAATCAGTTTAAGTTAAAAAATAATTAAATTGAAGTGGAAAATACTCATAAGCTCTTGCAAATATTTTATAAGATAAGCTTAATTTGTGGGGCCATTGGCCATGTAATGGCTTTTCTACTAAGAATGAATCTAGGTTTGAATTTTTGTGACTAGGCCTAATATTTTTTATGTTACCTCATGTAAACGTTATTCAAAAGTGCAGGTACCAAGCCTGACCCAGAATCCAGTCGTAATTTCCCTAATAGCTATAATCACTAATCCGTTTAAATAATTAAGTGCAAACAATAATACATGAATCACATGGAATTGCCTACTTGCAACCACTTTAGTGCAATCACATGACTTCCCAGAGAAAGAAGTACAATTACTTTACTTGAGCCAAAAAGTTTGTTTGTTTTCTAAGCTCAAACTTAAGACAAACGAGAAGTCAGATTGATCGATTTTCCAGTGAAGTGAAAGCAGCAGGTTTACAGGGGAAAGAGTATCTACTCTACACGCAATCGCCTCTGCCATAACGACCTATTGGATTTCATTAAACCAAGAAAAATGTAATTTGTTCTATTGACGATCACTGAAAAATGGTCTATTATTTAAAATGGAAAAAACATTTATTATTTTCAAGGTGAAAAGGATTCATTTGCCTTGATCCACGCCGAAGAAAACGTCTAAATGTCACGTTTTTAATGAAGCAGCTTAATGAGTAAAATATCTATTTTTCCGGTGTCCCCCTCGTTTGAGTAAAAGGTACGCTAAAACAACGTATTACATCGACGTTAAGCCGCGTTAACCTTGTTAACCATAACCTTTTAAATACTCGACCTAGTTCCGTTGTTTGTACGGGACTCCTGTAACTTCAAGTGCCCAACCCGGTATCACGACAAGACGTGAAATAATCACGTTGGTCCACTTTGGAAAAGTTCTAAGGTCTAAGTCCCATGGCCGTTTTTTTTTTTTGTGCAAAAAATAAGTTTCTCCAATCTTCTTGAAACTCTGGATTCTGATAAAGGGCCATGTGACTTAGACTTGAGTGCAAAAATAGAGGTTCTAGACCCTTCCAGAGCTGAGATATTGGTATATTTATAATGGCATAAATGCTACGTGGGATCTCAATATCTCAGCTCTGGAAGGGTCTAGAGCCTCCATTTTTGCACTCAAGTCTAAGTCCCATGGCCCTCTATTAGAATCCATAATTTCAAGAAGATCAGAGCAACTCAAAATTTCGACCCGAAAAAAAAAAAACGACAGTGGTACCCCTTTTGTTTTGTTTTTTTTTTTGTGCAAAAAAATAAGTTTCTCCAATCTTCTTGAAGCTATGGCTTCTGATAGAGGGCCATGGGACTTAGACCTGAGTGCAAAAATGGAGCCTCTAGACCCTTCCAGAGCTGAGATATCGAAACTCAAAAAATTCGACCCGAAAAAAAAAACCGACAGTGGTACCCCTTTCGTTTTTTTTTTTCAGGCGAAAAATTAAGTTTATCCAATCTTCTCAAAACTCTGGATTATGATAGAGGGCTGTGAGACTTTGACCTGAGTGCAAAAATGGAGGCTCTAGACCCTTCCAGAGCTGAGATATCGAAATTCAAAATTTCGACCCGAAAAAAAACGACAGTGTTACCCCTTACGTTTTTTTTCATTTTTTTGGCGAAAAATTAAGTTTCTCCAATCTTCTCAAAACTCTGGATTATGATAGAGGGCTGTGAGACTTTGACCTGAGTGCAAAAATGGAGGCTCTAGACCCTTCCAGAGCTGAGATATCAAAATTCAAAATTTCGACCCGAAAAAAAAAACGACAGTGTTACCCCTTACGTTTTTTTCATTTTCGGGCGAAAAATTAAGTTTCTCCAATCTTCTCAAAACTCTGGATTATGATAGAGGGCTGTGAGACTTTGACCTGAGTGCAAAAATGGAGGCTCTAGACCCTTCCAGAGCTGAGATATCAAAATTCAAAATTTCGACCCAAAAAAAAACGACAGTGTTACCCCTTACGTTTTTTTTTCATTTTGGGCGAAAAATTAAGTTTCTCCAATCTTCTCAAAACTCTGGATTATGATAGAGGGCTGTGAGACTTTGACCTGAGTGCAAAAATGGAGGCTCTAGACCCTTCCAGAGCTGAGATATCGAAACTCAAAATTTCGACCCGAAAAAAAAACGACAGTGTTACCCCTTACGTTTTTTTTTCATTTTTCGGGCGAAAATTAAGTTTCTCCAATCTTCTCAAAACTCTGGATTATGATAGAGGGCTGTGAGACTTTGACCTGAGTGCAAAAATGGAGGCTCTAGACCCTTCCAGAGCTGAGATATCGAAACTCAAAATTTCGACCCGAAAAAAAAACGACAGTGTTACCCCTTACGTTTTTTTTTTTCATTTTCGGGCGAAAAATTAAGTTTCTCCAATCTTCTCAAAACTCTGGATTATGATAGAGGGCTGTGAGACTTTGACCTGAGTGCAAAAATGGAGGCTCTAGACCCTTCCAGAGCTGAGATATCAAAATTCAAAATTTCGACCCGAAAAAAAAACGACAGTGTTACCCCTTTACGTTTTTTTTTCATTTTTGGGCGAAAAATTAAGTTTCTCCAATCTTCTCAAAACTCTGGATTATGATAGAGGGCTGTGAGACTTTGACCTGAGTGCAAAAATGGAGGCTCTAGACCCTTCCAGAGCTGAGATATCAAAATTCAAAATTTCGACCCGAAAAAAAAACGACAGTGTTACCCCTTACGTTTTTTTTCATTTTTGGGCGAAAAATTAAGTTTTCTCCAATCTTCTCAAAACTCTGGATTATGATAGAGGGCTGTGAGACTTTGACCTGAGTGCAAAAATGGAGGCTCTAGACCCTTCCAGAGCTGAGATATCAAATTCAAAATTTCGACCCGAAAAAAAAAACGACAGTGTTACCCCTTACGTTTTTTTTTCATTTTTGGGCGAAAAATTAAGTTTCTCCAATCTTCTCAAAACTCTGGATTATGATAGAGGGCTGTGAGACTTTGACCTGAGTGCAAAAATGGAGGCTCTAGACCCTTCCAGAGCTGAGATATCGAAACTCAAAATTTCGACCCGAAAAAAAAACGACAGTGTTACCCCTACGTTTTTTTTCATTTTCGGGCGAAAAATTAAGTTTCTCCAATCTTCTCAAAACTCTGGATTATGATAGAGGGCTGTGAGACTTTGACCTGAGTGCAAAAATGGAGGCTCTAGACC